CTTGGCGGTGGCTCCTAGACACGACCAGGGGAAGCGCTCCTGACCATTGTCCACACCACTGGCTCACGATCTGCGTGGGCACTGCTTACACACTCAGAAAAGTCCTTTAAAAGGGCACTTGCTCTTCTGCTCCAAAAAACTGAGCTATTAGCACAACAGCTCTCCCTCCAGAGAGCAGTGCTCACAGTCTTTTGTTGAGAGATCAGAATGAACTCACACATACTTCACAGGCTCGTCTATGAGGAGGAGGTCAAAGCCAACCAAAGGAGGCTGTCACGTGCCAGAAAAAAATGTCTCATAATCCCCAACTTCCTGTTGCACCCAATTAGGCTATGGAATTACGTTCTGATTTTTGGCATATTCTAAATATTATCAGCCTCTACTGACAAGGTAATCTATAACAGGAAACCCAACAGACAGAGTATAATCCACACTACGTTATCTTTATTAGATATATTTAGCCCTCCATGGTTTACATAAAGCCCAGTGACTCACCATCCACACTGTTGGTTTATACATTTTGTACTCTGAGTGTGAAGGAAAGTTACAGACAGTTGATTTGTGCTTGAGTTTTTGCAGAAAGCTTGATCGTGAAAATTACTAATTTCTAACTTGAAGATCAGGATAAAACCGAGCTAAAATCAAATATAAATCAAGATGTATTTGGATGTTATAATCCTAACCTTGTATCACAAACATAGTTTTTTTCCACCAAGAATGTCCCTTAAGGATTCGCCACCGCACGAAACTAGGCTGTACACAGAATCTCAAGCTCTTATGAAACATCAAAGTTATGATTTGCTTCTATAAAATGATCTAGCAGTGCAGATACAGGACTCAAACGCTCCAAGAAGAGACGGAATATCGCAGGATGAAATGTAATGAGTACTCTGTCTGCTAAGTCTACTTGTGATTTTCATATACTCTTTCCTGAGGTCTTATAAGCTATATTAGGAACCCCCGGAGACAGGGCAAGACACTGTAGGAATATGTTTGATATATAGTTGGATTAAATAACAACCTAATATATCAAACATATCACACAGAGGCCTGCAGAAGAGACATCCAGGTCTGACTGAGCTGAGAACAGGCACAGCCCTGCAGGCTGCAGGCGCCACAGCGGCACCTCCCTGGACCTGTCTGTGCGCACACGGTGTCTGCAGGTCTGGAAACGGCGCCACCGGGGAGACCGCAGGCACATGCACCAGAGCTCACCGACATCCTCACGTTGCCTTTACACCATCTTCCCAAGCAAATGATGGATTCGACAGGGCCAGCTTGTTATTTGTGTCTGGGCAATGCCAGTTGCCAGGCAAAAAGAAGCGCTCACATTTTAAGGGCCTGAGGTGGGAATATGCAAGAATTGTTTCCCCAAACCCCAGACCATTCTATTTTTAAAACAGGCAACCTGAGGCTGTGGTGAGCAAAACAATCTAAAAGAAAAACACTGCCCATCCCCAAAGCTATCCCTCAAAGCAGTGCAGATGCTTCCCAGTTATGGAAGCAAAGCATAGTCACTGGATAGTGGGTGCCTGTGGCTTTGTGTGCAGAGTTCCAGGGACAGAGATGTCATAGCAACTGCTTACTCGCAGTGTCCTGAGGATTTGTGATTGATCGATTGATTTTAGTTTTGTAAGCGGATGGAAAGAACCAGCAAACTTCAAAAGACTGGTTGATTTTGGTGTCAGACTGGGATTTTTTTTTTAAATGGGTGAAAAATTCTTTCTTGAAGTCAAGAAAGATATTTTATTTCATGTAGCTATCACTGCAGAGCAGATGGCACTCCCAGACAAGCACAAAAACTGTGGTTTGGGCTGATGGTTTCTTTAACATAGTTTTATAGATAACATGACCCATGTGGCGGGAACCCCTGTGACGGGTGGAGTAAGACTGACATCATTCTACAGCACGCTAGATGTATCTGCACCCTTTCTAATACGAAGACAGGAGTGACCTCGCATCAGTGCCCCCAAGCAAAGGACTCAAATCAACAGTTACACCAACTCTGACCTTAACTGAAGGAACCCTTAGCTTTCTGTAAAAACCCAATGAAAAAGAATGTGAAAACAAACATATGTATGTATACGCATGACTGGGACATTGTGCTGTACAGCGGAAATAGACA